ATAAACTTACCGTTTTACAAACCCCAAATACAAGAATAATTAAATCTTCTCTTAAAGAAAAGTCATTGTTCATTTTAAGTGTGTCCATTATTGCGTGTTTTAAGTATGGAAATATTCTATAATACAGTAATACAAATTATTATATATACATGTCAAATAAATTAAATACAAGTTTATAATATTTAAAATTTAGTAAATATTGTGATTTTTTTAATCTTGTACACTCATTACAAAAAGCATTAACTTTCTGGAATTAAATTTTTTATATTACCTTTTTGCCTGTATTTTTAATTCTTATGTTTGTTGGTGAATACACTATTTATTATCAATTTATAAACTATAGAGGTCTATCTATAATTTTAGTGAAATAAACTAATCAAAATACTTACTTAAAATCTTTTAAGAATATTAAATGTATTAGACACTGGAAGAATCGTTTCTTTTTGCATTAGTAACAATTTATWGAAATGTTTTAAAAAATCAAGTTGATAATAGACATCAACAAATATAATAAATATATATAAAATGTTAGAATTGCACATAACTTGAATTTCTCAGGCAAAATGTTTACAAAAGAAGGTTAATACTTTACACAGTAATAAATGTCATAACAGATAATATTATATTTATTGAAATACATTTACAAAAAAAAAAAAGTGTTATAAATTAAATAGGAAACTTTGCTTATTTAAGTTTACAAGATAATTTAAAATATAACATTAATGAATGGTGAATTCAAAAAAAAAGGTAATTAATAAAAATAATTTTCAAAAATTGTAAATTTTGATCTTAACAGAAACTTGAAAACTATTAATCATGTGGATAATAATTTTTTAATATTATCAATTTTTGATTATAGAATTTTTATGAATATAAGTAGCAAAGTGTGTTATAGTAATTATTATAACAGTAACTATCATAAATATTTACTTTTTTTTAATTGCTAATGATACACTAGAATGGGCATCACCTCTGACTACTACGTGCTTCATGATTTTTATCGAAACATGTCTCATATTTGCAAAATTTTCATAGTATAAATTGTAAGCCAATGAAAACAAATCTAAAATATATCCATTAATGATTGGTTGTTTATAAAAAAAAATATATACTTGCCATTCCAATAACTGCTTAATGAATGCCAATAATAATTCTGTGACAAAATACTTTGTTCCAATATTTTATAGTATACTTCTCCCATATACAATTGGAAAATATTATTTTGTGAAACATCAAGAATACATTTTAGAAAATCATTGATGGGTAGATAGGGTTGATCTAAAATATAGAAATCATTTATTAGAGTAAGTTATAGATTATAAGGTACGCATGGTTTTATTAGATTTACTATTTTTTTTTTTTTTTATTACTTTACACAATGTAATATATTTAATTTTTTTTTAGAATGATGAATGTATTGATTTTACAATGATGTATTAAGTTTTTTGTGTCTTTCATCATTTTTTGGGTAAAAAAAAAAAATGCTTTGACTATCTTCAACAGCATTTTTTCTGACGGGAAAGTGAATCTTGCTGTTACTCTGGGTAAAAGTGAAATTCATAAATAGTTTTCAAAAGTGTCGACAAAAGCAAATTAAAAATTTAGAGTAAAAAGAGATTTCATTATGCAAAACTATTGTTAAAAAAAATCGATATTAGCTTCAATGTAACACTAAAAAAAATTACATATATATTAGATACTTGAAATTTTTAGTGAATGTTTAAACTTGAATCTTTAAAACACTTTCAAATTTTTAAAATATTGTGGCTTGTAAATGAACTATTTATAGTCATATCTCATATGAAATTGTTGATTACCTCTTATTAGTTTTTTAGTTAAATCCTAACTGTAGATAAATTAAATTTCTTCTGCATGTTTATATTAGCAATTTATATGCATCATAATTTTTTTTAAATTAGGACTTTTTTTTGATTTTATATAGGCATAAAAAAATTTTGAGTTTTTTTTATTTTTTTTTCAAATTATTACAGATAAAACATTTAACACGGTCAAAAAGTTGAAAATKTAATATAACTTTTATAAGTGGTTGATAGTGGAAATTCATAAAAAATGTTGGGCTTAAATCCACAATCATTTTTATGAGTTACTTAAATTAAAATTAATGTTAATGAATCATAAAAATTGACAAATTATTGGAAAAACTTGAAAATTTAATACAAGTCCTCTAAATTTCCCTACATTTGACAAAAAAAAAAAGTAGGTAAGTCAAATCAATTTTCTACAAAAATTTGGAAATCAAGATATTGCTTTTCACATGTAAATTAGCAAATTCTCTTGCAATGATTTTTTTACTTTGTTGTAATTCAAAAACTAATATTTCTAAATACTTGAAATTTTCAAAATACTTTGACTTATTGAAGTTATTAGTTGAGATTTTTAATTTTCAATTWTTTTAGATTTTCTTTCCTATAAACGTTGAAAAATTCTTTAGGAGATGGCGAATGCTTGAAAATTCAATGCTAGATTTGTCAAAAGTAGTTATAATAGTAGTTGAGAAATATTAAAGATCTATAGGCCATTTCACAAAATGAAAAACTTTTATGAATTTTTATCTAAGATAATTTGAACATTGTCATAATTTTTACGTATTTTGTCAAAATTTGAACTTTAAATACTTATAAAAAAAACCGTGCCTATGTATTTTTAATATTTTCCACTGCTATTGTAACAATGTGTAAGAAGCCTTGTATTACATTTTCAAGTTTTTCTACCCAACAAATACATTTTTATCGATATTAATTTAAAAAAAACTAAAAAGGTTGAAAAATTAAAATGTCAGTAAACAGCTCAAAACTAATCGAAATATTTTGAAAATTTGATTATAATTTAAAATGCTTCAACACACCTGGTGCTATTAAAAGTACATACAAGTATTTAATAAAGAGTAATTAGAAATWAATAAAGAATTTGGATAGGTACCAGTTAACAAATTTTTGGAAAATACATATAATAAAACTATAAAAAATATGAATACAAAGTCAAAATAATATTCCAACCTCAAAATATTAATTTTGCATAATTTCTTATTAGATTTCTATATAATAGTATTGAATGAATAAAGAAATATCAAATAAAAAAATGTAAAATGTCACCCAAGTCTCAAGATATTTTTAAAATGGCTAAATTAACATGTCAGATCAACTGATGTAATATTTGAAACGCTTAATGTATAAGGACGATGAATTTAAATTAACAGAATAATGTCTTGGCTATTTTCTATGATATCTAAGGTTAACACGCCAAATGGAAAAAATTTGAATATTTATATGTTAAGAGGACGCTACACCCGCATGTGTTGTCTCCGTCTTACAAGTGCGTAACATTACAAAAACTGTTTCGCACGGGAAAGAACCGAGAAAGATACAGTTATAACTAAGACACGAAATTTTCACCACATAAAAAGGAGAATATTGTCTGTGAAATATCGTTTTTATTTTTTCGATATTAGAACTACAAAAAAAGTTATTCATGTTTAAAAATTACAAACACAAAAATTAACATATTATAAAACAATAAGAATTTTTTTTGTATAAGTGATATCGAAAAAATAAAAACGATATTTCACAGAAAAAATTCTCCTTTTTATGTGGTGAAAATTTCGTTTCTTCGTTATAAGGTTATAACTGTATCTTTCTCGGTTCTTTCCCGCGCGAAACAGTTTTTGCAATGTTACGCACTTGTAAGACGTCGACAACACATGCGGGTGTAGCGTCCTCTTAAGATAAATTATAAAGTATAATCTTTATTTATATTATTATATAATTATATTATTTTTATTTATATTATATAATCTGTGGTATAATTAACTTTCCATTATACTATACTCTATACATGACAAAATAGATTTTGTCATGACTCTATAGGAGTATAGGCGTGATTAAATTAGGGTAGATACTAGATATCAGCACAGAACAATATTATATCAATTACTTCTCCACGGACATAAACAACTGTGCTACGGACTAATAGTGGAAAGTGGAACACATGGCTAAATTTAGCCATGGTGGAACATTGTTCATTACTGGCTTCTGAATTCACGGCTTCACAACTTTTTATTTTCTAAATTAACCTCATAGAAGAAAAAAACTAACAGAAATTTTTAGGTTATTAAGTTGCTTATAAATTTATAATTTAATATTATCATTTATCAACTTATCAGTTATCACTGTTTTTTTTAAAGAAACAGTATGAGATTATATTATTTTAGTCTGTGAACTGTGAAAAACTTAATATAATTATAAACGATAATATTTATTATATGTATGTGTATTTTTGTTATTTTTAAAACTACTATTTAGTACTTACCTACTTATTACCTATTGTTAACAAAAATTAAAAACATGAAGACAATTCGTAATATAATGATTTTWAAAAACTTCTTTAGGAGAATGCATTCAACAAAGCAAGTGAAATGGGATATCATGGCCGGTTTATGTCTACAACGTAAACCGATTATAACTAAATCATTAACTGACACAGAGGTAAAATTTCAAAATATGTTACAAGAAATTGAATTTGAAAATAGTTTGAAGTCAGATCATGAGCTTAGACATGAAAAAGATGTTAAGAGAATGGAAAAATTGAAAAACGGTAAGGTTATTGATTTCGATGAAATGGATCAGACATCAAATCAATCGGCACAAGACTATGTAGATAAGAACAAAGAAGAACTTTTAAATTTTAAATTTGCTAGTCGTTCAACTGAGGCAGACACAATAAATGATACTAAATCATTAAAAAGGAAATTGGATGACAATTTGGTCTTGATTGTTAAACAAAAATTTGGACATGAAGACTTTTGGGTCTTACCACAAGGGTTATGGAATGATGGAGAAACATTAAGAGAAACATCAGAAAGAATATTAAGAGAATCGTGCGGAAATAACATTAATGTTAGATTTTATGGCAATGCTCCATGTGGATTTTATAAGTATAAGTATCCGAAACAAATACGAGAACAATCTAATGTAGAAGGGGCAAAAATATTTTTTTTTAAAGCAAAACTGTTGGATGGAAATGTAGAAGAAAAAGACATATGGACAGATTATGAATGGTTAGCTGTTCAGGAACTCAATAAGAGGCTTATTCAACCATACATGAAAAATGTTAAATTATTTTTGTCAAATTATAATGTAAATACATAAATAATAGATGACTTGTTCACTTGTACCTTTGTTAGCTTTATTGATTATATTTCTCAGCAGAATAAAACAGTTTTCAAAATTTGGTTGTTTATAACTGATACCCGATTTTTGCTTCTTCTTTGCTTCATTCTCAACATCCTGRTAAATAAAACATAATAATTATAAGAGTAACTATTATTGGTTATTAATAATAGTTTAAAATACTATTTAAATATTTAGTATTTACTAACAAGTATTAAGCTTCTGTGATAACAATTTAGAAGAGAAATCCATGTTACAAGGTAACCATTACCATCATTACTTTGAGATTTATTTAAATGTATCAGACTACTGTTATAATTCAAAACTTCAATAATTTCATCATTCTCCAATAGCTGTTGTAGTTCTTGTCGTTTCACCTATAAATATATTTATTCAAAAGATATTAAAACTGTTTTAAGAAAATAATACAACTGTGTGGTTGTATCATTGATTATAAATATTAATTTTTATAATAAATGATTGTAAGTTGATTTATATCATGCTATAAATATGTTGCTACAATAAAAATAGGATGGTTCATAATAGATGAATAAATATACATTAAATAAATAGACATTTCAATATCTCTAAAATACTTATATTACATAAAGACTTGCATCAAAAATATTTTAACATCATTCAGTAATGTGTATTATATTTTGTACAATTGCTATAAAGTACTATACGTCTATATTATAAATAACAATATACAAAAAAATAAAATATTGCTAAAATTATCATGTTTAGAAATATTACATAAATTAGTGAGGGCAGGCAAGGACATTATTTTTCTTCAAACAAGTCTTTCTACATCTAAGACTAATAAAAATCATAGCTTTAGTGCATTACGTTAACTCCAAAAATAAAATAAAATATTAGTTTTTTTTTTAAATATTTAATTTTATATTATTTAAATTTATATTGGTAATATAAATTATTATAAGATTTGAATTATATTTATATATTAATTTAAATATTTTTAAATGTATTTATTTGCATTATATATTGTTAAATATTTTAACTTTTAACTTTTAGTCGAGCTTTTAGTCTAAGTTATACAACTTCACAATTTGTAAAAATCAAAATAACTTGTCAATTAGTTTTGATTTGGTTTTATAAAACTGACATTAGATAAATAATAACTATAATCAAAGTGTAATTAAATTAATAATTGTCAAACATGTATATGGAAATTAATTTCCATTATTTGTTGATTCGTAATTAAAAACAAAAGTTAAAAAATCTAGTCATTGATTAATTAATATAAAATACTCTGGTCTTGTTATGAAAAATAATTATAATACATTAGTTAAAACGTACAATTTTTATATTACAGATGGATTACTTATTGTTTAGTCATGCATTAGATTAAAATGTGGAACGCCATACAAGTATGTATTATATCTAAATTCCATACCAATATTTATAATATTATGTTACATATCATTACCTTTCTTTCTGTTATTTTATTTGAGTCTAAACTTTGCAAGCAACTATTTAAATCACTGTTCAAATTACGTTTTTTATTACTATCCATTTTATAAGAAATTAAATATTTGTTAAACTACAATTACGAATCAAGACTTAAAACGGAGAATTATAATCCAAAGAAAACAGAAACAAAGTATACAGATATTGAACGGCATTATGATTTATAATTGGTGCATGATCTAATGTTTTTAGTACACGGAATATGGATTCTCTAAATGTCTAAAACCATTAAATAATCGAATATATTACAAGAAACAAACTATAAAGAATTCTCGAGAACTTTGATGAAGTACCGTACCTATGAGAAGTAAAAAATAACAAATGTAAAATATAAAAGTTATCAGAGAGACAGAGAACCGGTTATCAAAATTTAATTCTGGCGGCATTTTTCTTTTTAAATTGTTTGAAATCGAGAGAAATCACTCGAAATAYTCGATTGTTAGATTATTTCGATTGTTTGAAAATTCTCGAGTGATTTTTTTGGTATCGAAATCAACTGACGTAATCTAGCAATGATACAATTATTATTTTAAATGATATTCACGAAAGTAAATTTTCGACTGATTATAATCAGTATATATATATATATATATATATATATATATATGTCAACATTTAAAACATAATAATAATTAATAACTAAATGAAAATAAAATTACTAATTATTATTTAATGGGTTATTAAATTATTATTATATAAGATTAATAACCGTTATAGCCTTATAGGTAATGTCTATTATCTACCTATTCTATATATTAGATTATTTTTTTCGCTTATTTCGTTCATACTTTTAAAATATTTGCAATTAGAAATCGGTATAATATATTGTTCTGTGGTATAATTCAAAATAATAAATTCATCATCAATTAATAAGTATATAAATTTCTAATTTTTTTTATTTGGTTCTATTTTTCAGTTGTCCATTCCAATAAACTTTTTTTTTATTTCAATTAAGTAGGTACCTAAACAAAAATTTTAAAACTTTATAATACTTTTAAAATTTAAAATTAACTATAATACATTTAACTATATAAATAAACTATATCTATCTTTTTAGATTATATTAAAACTTAAAACAGGTTATTATAGATGTTAGAGTAATAAACTAGTATATATAACTATTGTTCAGTGATATTACTTTTCAGTGGCGCCAAAATATATTTAGGAGCAGGGGCGGATTTATTTTTTTTACGGCTATAGGCACCAAAAATTTGCCGCTCCTATAATAGGTGAAAAAGTTACAATACCCCTCCAAAATACYTACTCTAAATATTTAATWTATAGRCAATAGTAGTGGACATCCATTTTAATTTTTAGACTATTTTTTTCGCCTGAAGTTACTTAGCCTACTTTGAAAAAAATGTCAATGGTTGTTCACTGAATTTGAATAAAAACCAAAAAACCTACAATGATAATTTTTATTAATTATAAACCATCATTCATCAATAATAAATATATAGTATTATCAAAAACTGTTTTCTATATATAATTGTTTACTATAATATTTATAGGTAATGACTATAAATTATAATGAACCAAAATAGATTGGTATACTGAATATCATATACGATGTACTATATGTTTGATGTTTTTTAATAAAACACTACAAAATTTGCCGCCCTAGGCAGCTGCCTACAATGCCTAATGGGAAATCCGCCTCTGTTTAGGAGAGTTACGTTTGTCATTCTAAATATATTACGATATGGATATAATTGCATGTATTAGACATTACTGTCAATTGTAAACTAAAAGTTGATAATATTCCATAAAAACTATAAGGTAAGGTAATAGGTAAGGTAATGAAATAGGTGGGTGTCAACATTTTATGTGGAGGTGTCTGATGTCATAGGTAACATTTTGGACTTTGGCGCCACTATTACTTTTCTAAAATGTTTTATAAAAAATACTAATTATCTAATAATCATTAAATTTTTGAATCACTATAGAGCTGTTACAAAATGTTGAAAACTCAAGAAACTGGTGTAGTGGTGTAAATGTGTAATGCGAAATACTAAAAATAGTAAATACTAAATTTATCACGATTCACGAAGTTGTTTACAGTGAAATGTGAATCTTTCGATTGTTGAAATCATTCGATTGTTTCCATCACTAATTCAAATGCACAACGATMGTAGAGCAGATTTTCCCATTTGCTTTTAACACAGAACAATAACTTATTAACAATAACTTTTAATGTTCTTTGATAATATCTAGGTTTTTCTCCCATGGTGAAATCTACAGTAGTGGATAAAAATCTATGGATTATGAAAATATGAACATTTAGTAGACATATAAAATATAAATTTATACGTCTATGATTATGAAGAAAAATCAAAATCAATTAATAATTAATATCTGTGGACTATGATTGCTGAAATGCCGAATGGAGAAGATTGGCAAAACTATGGTTAAATATATAGGTATATGATTGAAATTTGCAACTTTATTCTACGCAGAACCAATATTTAAATATTTAATGTGCTCAGACTTCGAAACGTAAATAAATAAAATAAAATATACATTTAATGAATAGCATTAAACCCACAGATATTAAAAAAATGTTTATATTTCTATGAATAAACCACGAACTAAGATAGTTATAAATAAATAAACCTAATAAGACCGTAGTCCGTGATAGAATCATACGCCATACGAGAGCTGCATAGGCGTAGAGCACTATAAAAAAAAAAATAGAGTCTAGAGCAGTTGTAGAGTCTATAAAAATCCGAAAGGGCAAAAAGTCCTATTCTTTAAAATAACAAAAAAAAAAAGCATGTCATAAATGTTATCATCGGAATATATTATTATCATGATTCATATCATTTTTGCTTATCCGTAAATCACGGACAAACTGGACAAAGATGAAAGATCATCGAATCCACGCCGTTGATAGTTTATTTACTATTCTGACTTATGACTTTATGAGACCAGAGACTACTTATTAACTACTAACWATTATTTTGTACCGATTAAAAAATCCAATAATCTATTTAGTTTTCAAATTATTAATGTGTTTAGTATAAATTATAGGCCTAGGTAGTCTTAGTTATTAGTTAATTGTTGGATTTTGAACTATTAGCTTGAACGTAGATCAATAAACTATCATAATTTTGGTGTAAAAAGAATCCTACCTATTATTAAACAAGGATAATATTATTTGTTACCTACTTTCGATTAAATAAGATGGACTCAAATGATAATAAAGGTAAGATTTATTCAAGAAATGTATTTATGTTAAATTGTTAAAATATTGATTAAGTGATTTATTTAACTTTCATATATCAAACAAACCAGGAGGTAATGAAAATGTAGAGACTAATAAAACTATAAAAGAAGAAGGTGCTACAGGTGTGGACGAAAATGGAGTAAAATATATTATTTATGAAGAAAATAGTGTGGAAATTAACGAAAAYGCTGAAGTAAATTTCAAATTTTAAATATTTTTTTTTATTAATCGATTTAGATTACAAGACTTTTATTTGTAAGTATTTAAATGTTTTCTGATAAACGGAATTTTAGTTATTAATAGTTTTGAATTTCAACTTAATTCTTTATTTAACATATTACATACAAAATCCTTTGTTATGTAGTTATAATTTGAGTATATTTTTAAGCCAGAATTTGAAGGAGCCATTGTAATCACAATATTCTTATATTTGATTTTACATTCAAATTACATTGAAAATATTCATTTGAATCTTAAAGGAATGCTGTACCTTAATATTTGTAACATGTTATAGTGAATGTTGATTTATTAGATTTAAGAAAAAACATCTAAATTTTGTCTTATAAATGCATAGGCTCAAAAAGTGTTTTGAGACTTAGAAGGTTAATGATTTTTATATAGAAATGAAAATCTTTAATATATGGTATAATTTCATATGAAATGTTATATCTTCAGGTTTTTTGGGGAGAGGGTGGTGATGTATTTTGTATATTTCACATACATAAAGTYTTAACGTAATATTAGGTAATATTACCAATTTTTTTTTATATTTAGGTACTATTTAATTTTCAAAGTATTTTGACTATTTCAAAGCTATTTATAGGCATAAACAATTTTTCACTCAGTCAAAAAACTTGATAATGTTGTACAAGGTTCCTCATTGTTTGTAGTTAAGCCAAGTTCTCATGTGTCAGTCAAAACGTTCATCAAAACTGAACAAGTTATGAACATGTGAACACTTGTTTCAGTATGACTGAATCATCAAAATTGATATCAGTYGTATAGAAACTACAGTCAACTCGCGATATAACGAAATTTGATATAACAAAAATCTCGATATAACGAATAAAACTACCSGTCCCTTGAAAATATTGTGGTATAACGATGTATAGCATTATGAATTTCGATGTAACGAACTTTTGATATAACACATTTTTTTCTCGGTCCCTTGAATTTTGTTATATTGCGAGTTGACTGTATTTCTAATTTGCGACATTTCTAATGATCAGTATCGCGTCATCAGTCATAATGAACATTTTGACTGACAAGTATGAACCCGGCTTTAGTTAAAATTAAAAATAAATTTGAGTAGTCAACCCATAGTATTTTATTATAAGCACCTAATGTTAGAAATTTAAAAGAAAATTCTTACAAATTTTGAAAATTGCAAATTATTTTTAGTTTGAAATTCATAAAAAATGTGATATTTATGTCTAAAAATTAAAATTAAATACAATATTTATTAAAATTTAAAATTTGTAAATTTGTTATAACTTACAATAGCAGTAGATGGTTCTGGAACTACATTTTCGTACGGACACTGTCTTAACTGTAATAAATGTTCCTTCCCCCCACCTTCACACAAAATTTTACTTGTAAAATATTCACGGGTACAACTTCAGTAATCATTTTATTATATTAGCAGTTGGTACATTAAATTATGTAGCTTAAAATCTTTTTAATATTGATTACATTAGGTATTATTAAGATTTTAAATAATATAATTGTAAATTATTAAAAATATACTTCATGCAATTAATGAGTGCTTGGCGTTAATAGAATCATTGTTTAATAGATTATTAGGAATCAAGAATACTTACTTGACAATAAACTAATATTATTATTTTTTTAAAGTGTAACATTTTACAGTTTTGTAATCTGTGTGAACCTATTAAACTCTATTCAGGTTATACAAACACACACTTTTAGGGATATGTTAATGCTCTGCACACTCAACCTTTTTACAGTTTTATTCACATGATTGACATGCAAGCTAGCAGTGTAGTGTTAATCTGAATAGAGGATGAATAGGTACATTTTGAAAATACAGTTTTATAAATAAACTATAAAATTTCTTTATTTTTACCAACATTTTTCTTTGTTTTAAGTTCTATATTTATATATTTTTTTATTGTTTTAATATTTTTTTTTAATTTTCTAAAATTCTCAATACATTGCTTAAACTTATGTTGTTTTTCAGGAGTTGGATTTGAATCATCAAAGATTGGATAAAATTGAAAACTTTGAACATATGCTAAACCTTCGTTCTTTATGTCTTCGTTGGAACCATATAAAGAAAATTGAAAACATTCAAATGCTTGTTTCTCTTAATGAACTTGATTTGTATGATAACCAAATAATCAAAATTGAAAATCTGTCCAGTCTTATTAACTTAAAGTAAAATAATTTAATTATGCATTATATATACCTAATTCTGATATAAATCTTTATTTATAATTTTAGAGTGCTCGATTTATCATTCAACCGTATAAAAGAAATTGAAGGTCTTGAAAATTTGATCAATTTAGAAAAATTATATTTATCCAGTAATCGAATAACTAAAATTGCACATGTTAATCATTTAACAAATCTACAAATGTTGGAATTGGGAGACAATAAAATTAAGGTACAAATGATTTTCAAAAATTGTTATATAGTATATTGTATATATTTGTTATAAATATTGATTAAAATTATCATTTTATTTAATTTGTTTGGTATGCTTTTTAGTTTCTATTTCGTGCTGTAGTTTAATTGCAATATTATTTCTAAAAAATTCATTTATGTTATAGTCTATAAATAATTATGATTTAACATCACTAAACATATTGTCTGCAATAAAGTACCTCATTTTATGTCTTTGTYGTCCTTGCTATCATATGTAGCACATATGTGTGTGCGTGTGTTAGTAGAGGAGTGACACTCTTGGAGCGCGGCGTACCGTTCATGTCCCACTTTTGRACATTCGCTATATGCTCAAATGATCGAAGTAACAAACACATTGAGCATCGGTGCAGTCGCACCTAACTAACATGTGATAACTGATAAGCGCATATATCAACTTCAAATCTCACACGAGAAAAATTATATTTTGCAATTTTTTTTTCGTAACGTAACGTTTTTCAATTACGATTTTATGTGCCAAAGCAAAGATATAAAATGTCAAAAGTTATAGGCAACTTCAAGGTATTAATTTACATACATTCTATATTTAAATGCCTTATATTATCTTATAAGCAGGGTTAGGTATTTAATGTATTTGATAACTATTTTGGCTTGATATAAAATCTAGCAGTATTATRGAAATCCAAATTTTGTGTTATGTTGCTGTTGTGAAAATTAAAACTTCCATTTTTTAGGATATTTTATTTTTGTTTAGATTGTTTTTTATTTAATGTATTTAAATACTTTTTGAGCAATAATTTTGATGATTTAAGGTGTTTTAGGTTGCATGTCTTAGTTATTAGTTATATTTTATACTGTGCCATTTTATTTTAGCTCCATGTTAATTGATCTCCATTGCCTCTTGATATGTTCTAATTTGTTTAAATTTATATGATTTACAGACAATTGAAAATATTGAATGTCTTACTGGCCTTACAGAATTATACTTGGGAAAAAATAAAGTTGATAAAATACAAAATTTAGACACATTGATTAATTTAAAAATATTAAGTTTACAAAATAATAGTTTGACTAAAATTGAAAATCTTAACAAGTTGAAATCGCTAGATGAATTGTATCTCTCTGAAAATGGAATCACAGTAATTGAAAATCTTGAAGATAATATTAATCTTGGAACTCTAGATTTGTCTATGAATAAAATTTCTAAAATCGAAAATATAACACATTTACAAAAATTAACAGAACTTTGGGTAAGAACAAATAAAAATCTTTAAAAATATAATATTTATACTATGATAATTTTTTTAGATCAATGACAACCAAATAAATGATTGGAATAGTGTTCAAATTTTGGAACATTTGAAGAAGCTAGAAACCATATACTTGGAACACAATCCATTAAGCAAGGACAGTGCTTATAGAAGGAAAATTAAATTAATTTTACCATGGATTGCTCAAATTGATGCTACATTGGCCCGATAAATTATCCAAATTGTTTTAAAGCTTATTTTAAATTAATGAAACTCACTCATAGAATTAGTTTTTTTTTAGTGTTTATAATTAATTTATATAGTGTGTAATTTAACATTTTTAAATTAAATATACATAATATATGATTTTGAATTGGAATATTACTACTTAAGATCATATAAACTATATAAAAATATATAATATTATATTATATTAAATAAAAATAAGAATTTCAAAGTAAATTTTAATCATTTAATTTAATTTTTACAACAGAATTTTCATCAATTGGATCAATAATTTGACCCATTTGAGTAACAACTGGAGGAGCAGTAAGTTTTTGGAAAACTGTCTCAGGTACCCATGTTCTCCCAACAGGCACTTTGATTGTTTCTTCATATTCTTCAACACCTTTAAATGGATATGGCAATTCAGAAACCTTTAAAAAAACAATGAAAATACATTTTTAAACAAATAATAAAAATAATAGATGAAAAGATTTTTCGAATATATAATCTAATGATTACCTGATACCTATATTTTTAATATTTAAAGTTTTATTTAAGATTTTAAGCAGATCAATGAATGTTTTGATTTAATATTGTTTTTTGTGTGTATATGATTTTGGTAGCAATTTAAAATTAAATTTAGTTGATACTTTGGGCAGTTAGAAGTAAAACATTCTCTATACTTTTCAAAATAATCAAAAAAAACTAAAAAATAGAGAAAAAAAAGAATTGTATGCGATATAAATTTGCAAGTCAATAATCAACACAGCCACACAAAGAAAAGTTCTTTTTATAAACACTAAAAGTCGGTTTTTTACAACACTATTCAAACTTGAAAGTATGTAGCTTAATATTTTGACCTAACATTTGAAACTGTAAAATAAGATTATTCAATAGTTTTTATTATTTTTAGTTGTAGCCATAGGCTAGGAATGTTTTATTATTAATTAAAAAAAAAAAAAATGATTTTTAGTTGAAATAAGTTTAGTTTGAAGCCATATCATTCATAAAAAATGATTGAAGTTCAAATTTTGATGGCATTATTTGTGAAATAATGATTTCTTTTAAAGTTTTTTTGTTATTTTTCAAAAGTATTAATTGTTGAGCCTTGAAACATTTGATTATGATTGAAATTTTTTATACAGAATACAATTTCAAATTAGTTTAAAATAATTTTAATTAATTTTTAACTACTTATAGGCTTTGGAAAATGTCCAAGTTATTTAAAAAAATTTTTTAAATTGTTAATGAAAAAATGTAAATTTGCTCAAATACCTTGAAAATACACTAGGAACTTATAAAAGATATTCTTATAGCAATTTTAAAATGCTAAAATTCATATGCTCAATTTTTATACAAAAAAAATTTAAGAGGATGGTACACCGACCCACATGTGTTGTCTGTCTTAGAAGTATGTGACATAAAAAATTTCATGCTCATAACACGTTTAGCTCCATTAGTTTAAAATTTAGAGTGAATTTACATCTTATAAAAACTAAAGGATAATATTATTATTTATGGCTTCTTRTAGGCTTTTTAATATATTTTAATTTTAAAGTGAGTTATGTGTAATTTGAGATAAACAATTTACAATTTTAAAATACTCATAAGCATAACTCGCTTTAAAACCTTTGTGTTGGCCGACAAGATATTATCTACTTAATTGTTCATACAATCTATTTAAAAATAATATTCAATGGAAGGCAACCTACCCACCCTCATCCTTTTCAAGGGCACCAAGACCTATATTGATGTAGGGCGACCGCCCTACATATTGTAGAGGGTTTTATTGGTGGGTGCCGAGTGGGCAGTAGCTGATGCCTGATAGATGTTAATTGTAAGAAAGATATATAAGAAATATATTAGGTACCTATGTAAAGTTGAGGTGGGTTGTCAATTATGATTTGCCCTACATATATTTTTATATTTTGGCGCCCCTGATCCTTTTAATTTTTTCAATTCCCATGACTAAAAGAAATTTTAATACTTGATCTATTTATTTTTACTCATATTACTTATATATTAATAGCAAGTCATAATATAAATTATATTTTATTATGACTTAAATTTTTAGGTGACCCATTCAAAAGTATTTTCAACTATATAATTGAGAAAAGCTGGTCTACAGAATACATTGGTATTGACTTAAAAGTAGGGCTGGGATTTTAATGCCCCAAAAAAAGCATTTATGACCTAAAAACTCTAAAATGGTCCTAAAGAAATTAACTAGAGTTATAAAACGGTGCTTACGACGACAAAACTCGTACAGAAWCTTCAAACGATATTATTGGATGTTGATTTTACCAATTTAAGATTATTTAACAGAAAATGCGGGTAGTATTTACTCAAACCTTGTCTGATAATATAATATGAATTACAAGTACCTATTTACTTATAATCTGTTATATTTATACAAAAACCATGTTGGTGTGAAAATCTTAAATTAAAATTTCAAATTTATACTTGGTTTCCAAAAGCTCAAAAAACTCTAAATGCCCTAAAAACTAAAAAATCCCAAAAAATGCAATTTAAACTTTCTTATTCTCATTCATAAGTGCATAAAACAAATTTGTGACCAGACGAGCAAAGCACAGTAAGCTTTGGAAAACAACAATGCATGGTGCATCGAAATCCCAGTTCTTCTTATAAGTTAATAGTATAATAAATATAATATAGCTAATTTTTTTTTTTTGGCAAAAATTTGTCTAATCTAGGCACTTAAAAAAAATTAGCAAAAAAATATTCATATATAATTAGCATATAAAATTATTCATATATAATCAAATATCTTTAAAAAAAATAGGCCAACAGGCCAAATCCGCCCAGAATCGTTTTTAGTATGTAACAGTTATTGCTAAATTCATATTTAACAGTTAACATATCCATTACTCAAGTTAGTACCCCAATTTTTTTTATGTCAATAAAATAATAATACTAAATAAAAAAATAACAAATCTTACTAAATGTGATTTAATAGAATCATCGGCACTCTCATGAATAATAACTTTTTCTCGATTGAAGTCTTTGCGTGGTGGTTTAGCGGGTGTTCTAAACATTCCCATGTTAGTTCTTTTCTTAAATGTTCKTTTCCTGATATTAGGGCCAGCCCAACTGCCCCAACCAGGAAGTGCTGTTTCTACTTTTGGCTTAGACTGTTCTTCCAGCTTTTTCTTTTCCTCCCTAAGTATAAAACCATAATATGAAAGATTGTTGATGTAATATAAAGATTAGATGGTTAATACTTGAACTCATTAACGATATCATCATCAGCAAAAGCTTCTGCAATCAACTTTTCTTGTTCATTTTCTTCCTTATCATCTAAATGATCTTCTACCTGAGCCATTTCATCAGTTTCTAAATTTACTTGAGTTACTTGTAAAAACTCTGTAGGATCTATATTTTGTACTTGCTTTATGGGTTTTTCAATAATTTTATTAGCAGATCCTAGGATGTTTTCAGTATTGCTCATATTATTAGTAACTGATGTTCTGTTATCTTCATACAAAGGTTCATTAAATTCAGCTTTTATACGTTTATTATTCATTTTTAAATAATCACTCTTTACTTCTTGATTTTTACGTTTAATAAAATCTGTTTTAGAAGGTTGTTTAACTTTAACTTTTTTGAGATTAAGCAATTTTTCATTAATTTTATTTTTTAATTCAGTTTCAACAGTTTTAAATGTTTTTTCAACATCTTTGTGTACTTTTTTTTTGTTTAAATCATCATTAATATTATTTGATGATACATACCAAGTTCCAGCAACTGTATTAATTACACCAATGTTATTATTTTTTTTATGACACGAAGCCATTGAGTTAATTTTAATATTTGTATCAATTTCATTAATTTTAGTTTCTGATTTAATAGTATCATTGGAAAAATGAACTTTCTTTTTTTTAGGAGAAACAATTTTTAGAACTTCAACAAAGCTCTCCTCCTCATCAAATGTAGAGAGATCTTGAACTGTAATATTTTTAACCTTATTTTGCTTTTTATTTTTATTTTTGACTATAGGTTCTACTATTTTATCATGTTTTACCTCATTTACATTACTTTCTTCTAATTCTTTTGTTTCATGATTTTTATCATTAATTTTATTGTTTGTATTTAATTTAACATTTATGTCTTTTGATTCAGAATTATTTTGAACAAAATTATTATAACCAGCCATAAAATCTTTGAATTCCTTTCGTTCGGCAAGCCAAGGATTATCAGGATCAACCTCTTGTTCAGAAATTTCGATTTGTTCTTCATCAGAACTTTCAGAATCATTTGTTTCATTCAATGATGGTTGTACTTTTTGAGTTAACTCTTTACTTTTTCTTAACTGTTCTGCCAAAGCTATCCGGCTCTATATATATAAAAACATATAATAATAATAATTAATAAATATTTTAAATAATTTAAGGGACAGCCTGTTTTTAATATTAATGATATAAAATGTATCAATCGATTAGTGTTTTCTGAAAAATATTTTGAAAAAAGATTAGAATCTACTATAAAATTCTTCGAATTATGTCATATTATATCTTTATTATTTACTTCAATGGTAAGTACAGATATGTTGAATATTAGCTGTCTCCTAATATGGGATCTACTGCTGTTTTGTGTATTATCTTATTATAAATATAAGTATAGAATGCAATTGTTTATAATTTTTAATAGTTGAAACACATATTATACTTATATATTTCAGTGTTAATTTAATAAAATGTATGCTATTATAGATAACAACAGTTAGTTTAGTATTGTTCATAGTACATTATAGAATTATTTTAGCTTCTCCAATTAGTATAGTATATACTATATCATAATAATAAAACGTGTATAAGAATTTTATATAATAATTGAAATGAAAAATCTACAGTTAAATTACTTAGCTATCAATTATAACAATAATTTGTTAAATATAAATATAAATTTTTAAAACCATAACAATATTTTTATTTGTATTTATTAATTTATATAAAATTGATTTAATAGATTAATTAGTACAAATTATACTTGTATTAATACTACGGTTAGGTTAAGTAGTAGGACCATTGTCTATTTCATATATACAGTTGTATCAGTATATAATAAACACAACACAAGATAATTTAATAATTTAGTGATCCTACTATTGATCCAAATTATTTAAAACGAAACMATGCAAAAGAGAATAAATAAAAATCTATTTTTATACAATAATAATATTTTATGACATAAAATATTAAAAACGTAGTAGCTTATACAACAGTAAATAGCTTGGAAACATACTTTAATTTTAGTAAAATGATTATTTTTAGAATATGTTAAATATATGAAACTTCTATTCTTGAATAATTCAACAATTATTATCTTTCATGTTGCTAAGTTTAACATGAAAGAGGGATTTTTGACAGTAACATATTGTTGAAAACAAACACTGATTATAAAAACTTATTTATTGAGAGATAGATTAAATTATACRTAATAATCATTTGCTAAAAAAGAAAAATAATAATACAAAATTGCTTATTATTAATCATTAGGAAATATTATTTCTAATCTTTTTTTAGGTTTCAGATTCAAATTGTAAATGTTCATTACTTACGTCTTTATCATATTTGGCCCGTATAACATGGTTCCGAGCCCACTGTCCAGTAGATTTATGTCTTAAGCTAGCACGCTCTTCAGCTCTTGTTTTTTCAATAACATTTAGTTTTTCTAATGCTGCTACTGGGTCTGTTTCTTGTAATTTTTCAAATTCTTTGATTTGTTCTTTTGTCTTTTCCTTTCTTAATAATCTATGATATTTTTTACTTTTAATTTTATTTTGTCTGTGAGCTTTAGCATGTCTATATGATTCTTTAGCCCGGAAATTAGCCATACTTTTACGTTTTTCTAACAACTCTTTTAGTGTTAAAGGATACTTTTCTTTTTCTTTTTCTATCCAAGACATTTTCTAAAAATAAAAATTAATTAATTTAGATGATAATTAATTAATTGCTGCATTATAGTTTAAATTTAATTATTACTAAATCTTTTTGCTTTTGTTGAATAATTTCACTAGATTGTAATACAGCGGAAATTTTTTGTTGTAAATCTGTAGGGTGAGAGAAACCTCGGGTGAAATCAACCATACGATTATCAAACACTTCAACTTCACTACTTCTTAGAGGAAATCTTAACTGATCGGCAGACTTATTTTTTTCAATAACAGCAGACCATCTGCTTATGTGTTTTTTAAAATTATCATAAGCAACTGCTCTTTTTATCTGTAAGAAAATCAGTAATAATAAATACATTAATTTAATCTTTTAATTACTAAATTAGTTTAAAAATATTAAAGATTTAAATTTGGCAGGTTTATCGTATCATGAATATTTTGTTTCATAAAAATTAATTTCAAAAACTATGAGTCTTTTACGGGTTTTTATTCTGTTTATCTCATTTATGAGAGAATATAGAGATTTTTAATTAATTCATTCAAATGTGTGGTAACCTATTAGAGGAAACTTTTAAACTGTGTCTTCTCATAAAATAAAAGAACACTACCAAGGTTTTCAGGTTTGTATTTTGTAATCAGTAAAATGTTAACAGCAAATAAAATTCTAACATTAATAAATAGGATAATTATCTAGTTTAATAATTAAGATGGATTAATATAATATTGATAAACAATGATATTAGGATAATTTACTATAAAAAGATTACTTTTTCAGCATGAACTTTATCCAATGGTTTTTGCAATAGCTTTTTTGTTGATTTGGCAACTTGAATTTTTTGACTTATTAATGGTGCTTTTTTTTTCAGTGCATTTGTTAAATCATCAACATTTGTTGTTTGTTGTCCACTTGACAAATGAAATTGTGAAACTTGTAAACTTGGTTCATTCCGAGTAGTTGGCTGGATTCTAAAATTAMATTTTATAATAGGTAACTGTACTTCATTTTAATTTATTAATTGTTATAGATTATGTAAATTACATACTTTCGTTTAGTCTTTGATGTAATTGTCTGTAACAATTGTCTATGCTTCTCATACGAAACATCATCCATGTCTTCATCAGCATCTTCGTTTTTGGCTAGAGAGCTAACCATATTGAAACCTAATGAAAATTTAAAACATAAATACATAAMACTATGACGTCTACAATTATATCTTTGATAACTTTTTAAACAGTAAACACAACTCACAATACAATCTGTATCCTGAATATCCTGATTCCTGAATGCTGTTGCTGTTACTGTATTCTCGTCTCTTCCTAAGAGGCTAAGACACACGTGATTATCAACCATAGGGTAAGAGTTATTCTGTGATAGTGTAATCTGTAACATCCGCTAACCGCTAGATAATAATCTAAAAACCTTGGCTAACCACATTGTTTGATAATACTTATTTTTGTAAATGTAACTTAGGTAGTTTAGGTATAAGAAAATAGAAATATAATTTATAATAATGAGTAATATTATTAATTGTGAATTTTTAATTATAGTCAATTATTATTAGATCCTTGAAACTATTGTTTATTTACACTTGTTATTTTTATAAAGGAGATTTTATTAAATATTTTTCTCATATTTTTACCATAGTAGAAAACCAGTTATTCAAATRTCCAAGGTTAAGTTGATACCATGGTTGTACAATGTACAACTGATCAAATTATTTTAGGTTAGCCCAAAGTTTTTATGATAAATGACATTGCACAAAGTAAACAAAATCAAATTCATTTAATAGCTTAGCTTTAGAATTGTTATTGTGTTAGATTTCTTTCATTTGTTTCTTATAAGAAATAAGTTTTTGACCAAATTGTTTTCAATATATTTCACTTTAATTGATTTTATTGATAAGTGGTAAGTGCTTTATTTATGTATAATAATTTGTAGTATAATAATTAGGTTTATATTATTTAGCATAGATAAGTACATATTATAATGCATATGTAAAATATGTTATACTTTTGGTTTGCTTTATTATTTCATCTAATTTATATTATGTACTCCAAAAATCTTTTCTTCWTGGTATTTATTTTACTACCTATTGTTAATGTTGTGKAACATTTTTTGTARATAACATAGTAACATAATATTATGAAACAATACTACCATTTAACATTCATGTATGGGTACTGAATTCTAAATAGTCTATTATTTTTATTGATTTAATTTTAGAGTATACTTTTTTTTGAATTCACACTTAAAGAAGATTAATTTTATCAACTTTTATAATAAATTATAGTTTGGGTATTTAGAAATTCTGAAAAAATAACCAGAAATTTTATATTTTATACCTAAGAACCATGAATATCTGTCAACAATTCAACAGTTAAAAATGTATTATCAYCTTTATGTTTGGCAAGTATTATTAGAAAAATAAGTGTGAAATAAGAAAACTTTAAATTAGCTGCTTAGCATATCAATATAAAATGTATGATGTACCTAGTACCTACTAATTACTTATACAAAAACTAAAAATTAAAATAGTATTTTGAATTCGAGATCTTGTTGAATGTTAAATGCTTTATAATATTATATCTTTATTAACTTAATTTCGAAAATATAATAAACTTTAAAGTTAATTATTTTAGTTKTTAACTAAATTTGAAAATTCTATTTTATCAATTTTATGTATTATTTATTGTAATTTATATTTAATGACAGATTGTAATTCAAATACCTATCTCATCCCAATCATGGAATTATATAAACAAGGAGCAGAATCAAAAATATTCACTACTACATTCTCAGATCGAAAAGCCATTGTTAAAGAACGATTTTCAAGACAATATAGAAACAAATTGTTGGATTTAAATATACGAAAAGAACGCACTAAAGCTGAAGCAAAAGCGATTTTGAAATGTAAACTGGGTGGAATTGCAACTCCTGTTATATATTCTTTGGATTTAAAAAACTACAAAATAATAATGGAACATATAAATGGTCAAACAGTAAATGACTATCTAACTAATATGAATGATACACAAGATAAGAAGGAAAAGTTAACAAAATTACTCACAAACTATGGAGCTATCATAGGAAAAATGCATTCTCTTGGAGTATTTCATGGTGATCTTACAACTTCTAACGTCATACTTAAAGAAGACGATACTTTGGTGTTGATTGATTTTGGCCTTAGCCATTTTAACCCAAGTATTGAAGACAAGGCTGTTGATTTATATGTTTTAGAAAGAGCATTTGTTAGTACACATTCATATTTGTCAGATTTATTTTCAGTGATAATGGATGGTTATAAAAGTTCTTACGAATTAGATGTTCAAGCTGTTGTTAATCAATATCTAAATGTTCGAATTCGAGGTCGTAAACGACAAATGATTGGCTAGTTTATTTCATTTTTTTTTTTTTTGTGTATTTTATATTTAAAATAAAAATGATTTTATTGTACTTATTGTTCTAATTTTAGTATGATAATGCTATCCTGTCCTAATTTAATGTAATTATTTATAATGATGATTTGTAGTCGATATTTGAGAAAACTGTTGTAAAATGGTTTAATTATTTTAGAAATTCATTATATAGTTATAAAGAATGTATTTTTTTTTACAGATCCAATATGGACATAGCTGAAGGTGTTACGCCAGCTTATCTGAAATTGGCTCAGATAAAGTTTTGCTTAACACTCCCACAGTATAAAGAAGACCCAGATTTAATTTCATCTTTATTAGCCGGTATAGTTCAGAATAATATGGCCCCCTATTACAAAGAAGTATGCACAGATTTGTCATGGGTATTTGACCAAACTCTTTATGATAAAATGGCTGCTAATAATGCTAAGCGAATGGCAGAACTTGAACAAGAAAAAAATCCCACTATGGTAGATGATGATGACCCAGTATCTGGTATATGGCAAGCAAAGTTGCTTTATTTATGTTCCATTGGTGACCGTGAAGAAGCGACAAAACTGGCGGAGTCAAAATTAGCAGAAAAAAATGTACCCAAGTCACAGCAAATTGATACTGTGTTTGCTCTATTTAGAGTTGCATACTTTCATGGATGTGATATTCCAGCAATGAAAAAAGCAATAGACAAAGCGACTGAGCTAATTGAAGGAGGATCTGGCGGAGATTGGAGTGCCAGAAATAAACTTAAAGCATATGATGGTATTTGGAGTTTGGCTATACGTGATTTTAACCGAGCAGCTAAGCTGTTTGTAGACGTTGTACCCACATTTGAATCGTACGAACTTGCAGATTTCAGCACTATCATTAAATACACTGTATATTCATCAATGATAGCTTTTCCTAGATATGAGTTGAAAAAAACACTGATGCATCATGGTGTTATGGCTCAGGCTTTAAATTCAGATTCTAAAGAACTCAAAGATTACTTTGTCTCATTATATGAAGGTCAATACTCTAAATTCCTTGTCTATTTAGCACGCATTGAAAAGAACATGAAACAAGATCCGTTGTTACACCCTCACTACAAATATTATGTTCAAGAGATGAGGCTATTAGCTTACAAGCAAATATTACAAGCATATAGATCATTGAGTTTGGATTACATGGCTGAATCATTTGGTGTGACTAAAGAATTTGTGGAAAAAGAAGTAGCCAGGTTTGCAGCTGCTGGASGTTTAACTTGCAAGATTGATCATGTTGCTGGAGCTGTGGTGACCAGTAGTACATCCAAGAATAGTTTACAACTAGGAGCACCAGAATCTAGACTGGAACGTGGTATATTATATCAGACAACTGTGAAAAAAGGCGATATATTGTTGAATAGGTTAAAGAAGTTGGCCAGAGTTATGGATTTCTAAAAACCAAATATTGTGAATTTTTTTTTAGATTGTGTTAAAAAATAAATACATTTTGAGTATGCATTATGCATTTGTATGTATAATATCACATTGGTTCTAATTTATCAAATATTATAATTATTTGTATTTTCACATTCATCAAAAAATATTAATACTTAATAGACTTAATATAACCTTATAAATTATCAATTAAACAATGTATTTAATTAAATCTACTTAGATTATTAAAACATTTTGAATATATTCATACTTCATGTTAGTATTGTACATTTGGTTTAAATGCTAGTTTGAACGATCATAATTGTTACAAAAATAATTTGTTGGTGTTAATGATTTCATAATGTATCTTTAATGATTATAACTAGGCCCGTATGAAGATATTTTGTGGGCCCTATGCAGTGTAGGGTCCTGGTTATAAGTGTTGTAACAGTAGGTACTTTAATGTATAAGTGGATAAGTTTATTAGTATAATATATGCATTTCACACGACAAGTTCCTTTTAAGTTTTATTGTAGCTATTTAAAAATATAAATCATGTGCAGACAACATAAAAAAAATAAGCTTAAATTTGTTGGGAATTAGTTGTTAAAATGAAGATTACAATTATTGTTCTAAATATTTCGTTAGGTATACCTAATTCAAAAATATTTTTTCAATTGCATAATTACATTTGTAAATGGGGTAAAGTCAAATTGCACTTGGGTTAAAAAAAAGATGATAGTTCAAAAAGCTTCAATTAATTTCCCTTTTCACTTACTAGGACTAACAATCATTTTATTTTATACCTATATGGCTATATGTTATAGATGGTATACATTATAATTAATATATTTATATAATTTACAAATATGAAAATTATAACAACCTATGCTAATTATTGCATTTTAAGCGGGAAACGATGTCAGTGTTTTACAAACATTTAAATTGATTTTATTTTTTAAACATTAGTTCAACGCCTTTTTTGAACCAGAGTGCAGTTAATCTTTCCGTTCAAATGCAGTGTTTTCTACAAACCAATCTGGCACAAGTCTAACCACTTAATTTAAATATAAACCAAGTATCAACATTTTTAACCATATCTACTCAATAAATAACTATTAAGAGTGTACCTATAGGCAGTCCTATAATAGTCTGTTATCTTATCGATATAAATGATGGAACGGAAAATAATAAAATAGCGTAGCAAATAATAATTTTAGATTAAACTGATTAAAGTTATCATTTTTAAGGGGTGACCGCAACTATTAAGTAATTTTTGATTTTTACCTCAACTAGAAGACACCAGTAAGTATTAATCTGAAATTCTTTCCACAATTCAGGTGTAACGCAAAATAGGTACTCTGATTCTACGAACAAATACCTGGAATCAATTCGAGTTTGAMTTTTTTTCGTAGTTATCGTTGATACGTAATTAATAGATAGGTATATTCAGTGGTATGCAGTCAGAGTTTTACTTTTGACTCTCATTCTGTACCTATATATTTTCATTTTATTTTCACGAACGTTTAAATTATTCATGCTTATTAAATTGTGATATAATTAATGTAACGCACTTTTATTTGTTATAAAAACAATATTTATAATCTCAAATCTGTATAAACAAACACAATAGTAATATAAACAGGGTGTCCCGTGAGGATTTATCCATTGCGATATCTCTCGAAATTATGGTGATATCGAAATTCTGGTTTGGTAATAAAACTCACAGGGATAAGAACTACAATATTGTTTCATATTTTAATGTTTTGGTGAAAAAGTTTAAAAATATACTTTTATATTAATTATTTCCAAAAAAATTAAAGATAGCCATTTTGTAGAGTTTATTTTTCTGAAAATATTGACGTTTCAACATTTTATTTTCATTAATTTTCTGATTTTTAATATTTTTTTTAGTTTCGAGAAAAATTGCGAATTATTTAACACCATAATGTTATCAAACATCTGACCCGCCGCACCGCGCGCATTCTCATACAACCAGTCATCGAATACTCTCCCGTATTCCTAATAGTTATACATTTATAATCATATTTTATTTCGTCAAAACTATAGAAAAAAAATATCATAAATCAGGAAGTTAATGGAAATACAACTTTGAAATGTCAATATTTTCAGAAAAATAAATACTACAAAATGGCTAGGTATATTTAATTTTTTTGGAGATAATTAAATAAAAAAATATAGGTATTTTTTAAATTTTTACAAAAACATTAAAATAAATTTTAAATTGAAATAATTGTACCTATTTCTTATCCCTGTGAATCTTATTATAAAACCAGAATTTTGATATCTCCATTATTTCGTGAGATATCGTAATGGGTAAATCCTCGCGGGACACCCTGTATAAATGCATAGACAATATACATTTTGCTCGTTAAGTAAAAATTAAAATATTCATCATATTTTGTATTTCATGGGTAGGTACTTCATACTTCATAGTAGGTAGGAAGGTATCTACTTAGTATCCCAAGTACCGGAACTCTTATACGTAATTTAAAATAATACGTCGTCCGGCGCAATTGTTTTGGCCTGGCTCTCCCCCTCTAAGTATGTCACTAGACTGAGTGTCTCCCAAACTATGGCACTCGCCAGTCTCGCCACAGTGATAAACCTGTTTGGCAAGAGCAAATATTGTTAGAAACAGATAGTTATTATCTGCAGTTCTTTATTATCATTAGTTGACTTGAGAACCACGGGCATCCTCTATAGGGGAGGGGGCAAGACGGGTCACTGTAAGTTCTTCCTTTAAATTTTAATTTTTCGTTCCAAAGTATTATCAGTAACGCGCCAATTTTGGTAAACAAAGATTACTTTCAAAATGTATGCATAAAATAATCTTCGTTTAATTTTTAAATTCATTTTGTCCCTCCCTAGAAGAATGTCAAGTGACGCACATGTGAACGCACTATCGACAACCAATGTTCAGTGGTGCGTCACCGTTTCGACGATAAAATAAGTCTGGTGCACACATTAAAATATAAAACAATCATGACGTATTACTAACCGATGTGTCGATGCATGTAGTTAATATTTGTAGTTTACACGGCTGAATGCTGATCGGAGCACAAAAAATGTGTTTTCCGCAAATTGTTTAATCGTAAATACAATATAGACACACACGTCAACACAAAAAGCTGCAAACACTTTTTTTTATTAATTTTTTTTTTATAGACCATGTGCATATACCTAATAATTAATTATAATTTACTATACTACTCGTATTATACCTATAGGAATCTAATATTTTTTTGGGAGGTTCACGTCATAGTACAAAAGCTGTCGTTGCCTTTATAAATTAGATAGCCTATGATATATTTTTCTAACAATTTGACCCAATAAGTATACCAGCAAATAAAAAATGTATTCGATATTTTTAAAGCAATAAAAACATTACTTTTACCTCCAAACATTAAACATATATTAAGGTACTAAAATACAGTTTTTTTTCTCATTCATTTAGATTTTATTGGGCGACAATATAATTAGATTATTGATGCACTCCGAGTAATGCGTAGTATATAACTCGATATAGTTAAATTTTGGAAATAATAATAATTAATAACAATC